GAGAGAGAGAGAGAGAGAGAGAGAGAGAGAGAGAGAGAGAGAGAGAGAAAGAGAGAGAGATATATACACTTAGACATCATGTTTTTGCATCCTGGGATAGTGCAAGCAACAACACACAATACTGACCCCCAAAGACAGAGCTATCTAACATATACAATTTTGTTCAGTCGAAATTGTGTAAAATGGTCCCCCTTTATTTAGGAGAAAAGTGGCTGTTTTCGACAGATGACTGTCTGATGCAATGTTATAATTTTTCAAAAATAAAATTAAATGCAAATGAAATTAAAGTACCAGGGAGGAAATGAGCAGGGACCATTTGTCTACTTTAAAAAAAATCTCTATAGATCTCTAGATCTATGTCATATTTGTGAAATTTCCTCACGCTGGTTGCTCAAAACTTCCAAACAACTTAACTTTCAAGATTATTTTTAAAAAATAAAAAATTAGCTGTTGTTCAAAAGCATTAATTTTTAAAGGGTGTCCAGTTATATTATTATTAAGGAGTCTGAAGTCACAGCAGTATAATTTTCAGTTTTTTTCATTAGTTTCATTTAGATCTATTCTTGGAAAAGTCTGTCTATTGAAGACGCCACTGTAAACAAGTGAGGCTTCTGTTCACAAGCAGTGCGCACTGTTCCTCAAATTTAACAATGACATGACGATCGATTCTTTTTAGTAATTTTAGTCCGTTCTTCGAAATGGTAAACTGTAAGTATAATAATATACGTCATGTGACAGAAGGAACAGGCTCAGGCGTAATTTTTTTGTTGTTGTATATTTTACATTATTCTTGTATATAATAATTATTATCATTTTCCTTCTCGCGGACAAGGTATCAACCTACGAAATAAAAATGTTCAAAGTGGTGAAGCTAACTTTTCTTCTTCTCCGCCTCCATCTATATATTACATATCGCTTCGCCTTCCTTAAACATACGCACACATACACAAATATAGCATAGAAACACATAATGCACACACGTGTTAAGTGTAATGATGTTGAAGATACAACGCGATATATTACTCTTTAACCCTTTAACAATGTTTTTGAAAAAACAAAAAAACAATTTATTTTCTTCTTCTTTCCGCAGGACCAGCTGCAAGGCAGACTTCTTGGCGCTCATATGACCTTATACAGTTGCGAGCGCTGTAAAACCTCTACTTAAACAAATAAAGCAGACTGTTCTTCTTCCACTCAACCTGAGACGCTAGAACGTACCTGACCACCATGAGCTTTCTAAACGGCTTGGGCAACTTCTTTGATGCTGCCAGGGAGGGCAGTAACGAAACATACGAGTGAGTGTTGTAGTTTTATGGCTCATTTTGATATTTTTGTTACTTATTTTTAGTACAGGCAAGTAGCGTGTTGTTTTATGTGTGTATATATTTATGTATGTGAGATATATATTTATAT